ATCAGAACTAAAATATAGTGTGCTTATAAAGAGGGTGTGATTATATAAGGTGTGATTGTAGAGAGGGTTGACTGTACTTACTTAAATTTTCTTAAAGATATTGAAAATATTTTTACACCTTTTTTTACTGAAAGTTTTGAAATCTTTAAAGATACTGAAGGTATTAAAGGTACTGAAAGTAGTAGAAGCACTAAAACTATTAGAAGCATTAGGAACAAATTAGAAGAAATTATATTGCCTTTTAACACAAACTCTTTTGTTAAATTAGAAGTAGAACTAGAATTTTTTACTAATAATATAAACAATTCTAACTATTCTTCTTATCAATATAATCTATGTATTAGAGACAATTTTGATGATTAAAAGTCTGTTGATAGATTTATGCATGAATATTATTTAGAAAGAGGATTTAACTTTCAAATTTTTTCACAATTATAAGGATTTAGATAATCCTGCTATTACTCAATAAAAATCTTTCATTATTCTTCAAGTGAAAATTATGAAATTCATAAGGAACTTGATCATAATATACATCATTTACAAAATTTTAATAAAACAAATTATAGGTGGCATTGTAATTTTAAATTACCAAAAATTGAGCAACAAATAAGATGTATAACATTTGTAGATGTATATAATCATGAATTAAATCTTATTCAAATAGTTTATCTTAACGCTAGATATTGATAATTTAATAATAATATGATTTAAGATTTAAGATTTTTTACAAATTGTAAAGTCATACTTATTATACAATTAGAGATTCTTAAAAAAAAAATATCTACAGCATGTTTATCATAAATAAGATATCTATAATTTGATATATATTATGTGCAAATTATAAAGATAAAGGCTTTAATTCTAGATCACTACTTACAGTGGCACTCAAAAGTATTGCATCACCTGAAAACAAATTTTTAAATAGCATTTTCTTGTGATTAAGACGACGCAGTGTCATATAAATTATTTATTAGACTTATTATAAACAAGTCTATTCAATATATGAAAATCGGTTTATAGTAATGAGATAAATTTTTAAAAAATATTTATTTTTAAACAATTAGGCGATCCTTTTCTTTTGATCATTTTTTTATTAAATTTTTTAAGTATATAAAAAAAATCAAAAATCTAACCAACTTATTA